TGCGTTGATACAACCATGGAAAGAAAAAAAATAAAGAGAAATACAAAACATTGTCCAGAAAACAAAAATGGAACAGAATTATCAAGATGGAAACGAAAATATTCTAATCACAATCGATTAGTCAATAAAATCATCGAAATAAAAATTGGGAAGGAAAAACAAAGAAAGATGTTAGTAAACACTTATTATTTTAAGAAACTTTATCAACAGAATGATATTAACTAAGGAACCATTTAAAAACTAGAAAGAATGTTGAATACTAGCAACTGCTTCATTCCAGTTTAAAATTCCTGAATAGGTTTCATGCCTATTAAACAATCATGAGAACTGTGATCAGAATCTTTAGATCATTATTTTCTATTACTGAGTTAGTATTCAGGCGGTTTATATCTTTAATTTTAATGGTATCACAGTGCGATGATATGACCTGTTTCATTTCCGACATAGTATGAGTAGATTTCAGTATCCACAATAAACCAACAGATAATTTCTGTATAAACATATTCAACAGGATATGTTTCTTCCAAAGCATATTCCCTTATTGATTGGTTTTAAAGATGAGCATCAATGAAATTCGTATCACTACTTTTTATTAAGATGTGATAAATATTAGTCATCTTGAAACGTTTATACAGATAAACTGATCAATAAACTGATGAACAGAATTTATCTAATCACTAATTTGAATGATTCAATAGTGTTTGTGATATTCTCATTAGGTTTTTAATTTTTCTGATGATAAAATGTTAACCACTAGAGAACACATCGATAAAACATTGAAACACATAATTTATTCATCAGGGATAGAGTTTATGAATTGCACTACAAACTAATGGGATAGAAACCCGATTTAAACATCAATGTGAGACTAAGTACTTGACACTGAAGAAACATGATCATAACCTTTGTTTCAATTGATGATATAAAAAAAAAGTTATTTTAACCATTTTAGCTAACTCATAATACAATATATCATTAGGCCACTAGTTTTACACTTCACTCTTATCCACATGTTGTATAAGTTAACCGACCTAACTGTATTGTAATCACTTACATTATGTGATCGGTTTTCGTCAATCATGTTCATTCCGATCATAGGAATAACCCATTAAAATTGTATATATATACGAATATACGGCCTCATAATAATTTCGCTGAATGGAGACCACTTCACTAGATTTCTTATTACTCGCAAGAATTTTAAGATTTATTTTCATCAAACACAGAGATATATTGAGGTAGGATATGTTCCCGTGAATTTGTAACATCTCCACCTCTCAGTGTTCGGTATTTATGTGATATCTAGCATTTTTACCTTCGCTTACTGTGTGACTGGAGCAGTAGCGTGTCCATACAAGACATATACAGATAGCCCTGAATGATTACAATAAAGTCCTCAGTGAAAATTACACTTTTATATATAGCACTGACACACTAAATTATTAATATGTTAGAAAATGTTAGATATTACACTTTTACTGGACATTGGAAAACGATGTTTATCCTCAAACAACATGATCTATGAACGAAGAATATTATTTCCTATAAATTCTCATCAACTTCTACAGTTCTAAGTTGAAGTAAATAATCCTAATGAATAGTCGAATTTAAGTAAATACATCTCTTAAAATTGTCAGCGTGTAAAGTTAGAATTTTCAGTAAGTTCTTGATTGAGATCGTAAACCGATTGATGTTAGACCACAATTGAAAACCTGCAAGCACTGAACGGCCATTTCGTTACTAGTGTTCACTAGTGACTAGCTTCTTGAGAGAGTTCTCGGAGTTCTAGTGAGAAGCCGTGACCAGTGGAGCTAATCCGTGTCGGTTAGAGACAGGTATCTACCTCAGTACAACGGAAGATGGTAGCGCAGTTTTGTGGATTGGTTGAAGTTAGACATTAACACTGTTAGATGCCGGCTCAGTGGTCTAGAGGTCAAGCGTTCGCGCGAGACTGAAAGCCCTGGGCTCGAATCCCGCGAGTGGGATCGTGGATGCGCACTGCTGAGGAGTCCTAAAATAGGACGAAACGGCCATCCAGTGCCTCCAGGTTTCCAACGGTGGCCTGAGATCAAGCAGTTCATGATCTCAATCAAAAGCTTAATAATCTCCACAACCCTATACTGAAAATTTTCTGTAAGATCCACTTGCTAGCATTACCTACAATTATTCCACTGTTTAACTGATATAGCTCAGTTCAAAGAAAGAAAGTTAAAGACAATAGAAGTGAATTTATTTTATACAGTAAAAACAAATCACAACATATCTCTGAATACACTAATTTTTTTATGTTTTATTAACACTATTTCAAAAACATGTGTGTACTGCTAATGTCTCGAAAGGCGATACAAACTTTACAACTGAACTATCAAACTGAGAGAGCACAACAAGTCAAGTAAGAAAACTGACTATTGTAAATTCAGATTTCCCGTTTTATAAAAATGTGTTTATCTAAAGTTTGGTTATTTATTTGGGTTATTTAGTTGAACTCGATGAGCATCTATTATCAATAAGATTTTTCGTTCATATACAATTTTGTGTTTTGATATGAAAGGAATATGTCAATAATCTTAATTAAGTAGTCTGTACACAATTTAATAGGAATAATTTTACAGGTGAATTTGTGGCTAAAACCTTAGCGAAAATAAAAAGCATTTGCAAATCACTTTGATTCAAAGATAGTTGCACAAAAATGTATGATTATTCTTTGAATAAAATGGTGGCTTTTAACTGTGGTAAATGAATCAATAACTAGTTGTTTTCATATGCCAAGAATAAATATTTAAGGTGAATATCAGTGCTGTTGGTTATCCCCAAGAATTACTTTAAAGACGATAATGGAATTACTTAATTCTTACTGGTTATAACAAAAGTTTTAGTACGAATAATAACCTCGAATATCTTTTTTTCTAATTCAATTCTTCTCGTGACCATCGCCATTTTCTGATTGGCTGCCATTACTTATAGCTCGCTAATTCATGTGCTTGAAGGTTATGGTTTCGTTAGTGTGTATAGTGAGTTGTACCACTTCAGGCTTTTCTGATTGAATATCACGTTTCTCTTACAACTCATTTTTATCTTGCGTTAGCCGATAGTTATTGAGCTATTGTGTGTCAGCTGCCGTTATAGAGCAGGCCATAAAACCCCTCGTATTAGAACAGCTCACTCGTATCTTAATTGTCATGTATTGTAGGGAAACCGGAAACCCCGGTAGATATAATAGTCTCATCAATAAATAGTCATTTATGAAAGTAACTAGTGACAATCACAGACATAATTAATATTACAATGTATTCTTTCTGATATCAAATAAAATTATGAGTTTAATTAATTTGCTCTTATTTTGTTTGAACACGTAAATATTGGTACAAGAGGGCACCAAATATAAATACGCCACACAAAATTTTATTTGTGTGTGAGCTGTGATACTGCCCGGGTGCCCAGACCGAAGCAGGTGGTTTTCTTAGGGGGCCACACCACGAGACTTTGACTTAAAGGTCTGACCCACAAGGCAGTGGAGCATCGTGAGGAGATGCAGTTGCATGGTAGCCGGTGACCAACCATTGGTTCATTCGCCATTTGTTCCTTCGGGATACTGGAGCCCATGTTCACCATTGGATTAGTTTTTTACAAAAAACGAATCGCCTAAATATTAGAAAACTGACTAATTCATAGTTCAAATACTTTGAAGAGAAACTCTGAGTAATTTACATTTTCGGGAGTTAAAAAAGATTACTCAACTGCATTTTCTATCCGGAAAGTGTCAGCAAGTTTCATTTATCAAAAAACAATAGCTATTTAATAAACATTTTTAATGTTCAATATGCTATGTCAATAAATGAAGATTACAAAAAGTTATTAGAATGACACACGACTAGTACATCAGTTAGGATAACTTATAAACTGACAGTTTAGATTAATGTAAAAGGAGAAATATAATTTGATTATCAGTGAACTGTAGTATTTAGGTCTCATCTTGTTTTAGTCTTAAGGAGCTAGGTTATAAAGGTGTGAATTTTTATGGTGACTCAAAAGAATCGTTAAAACGATGATAACCTTACATAGTAAGTTATCATTAAAACTAAAAACAAGTTTTTAGTTTTATAACATAACCATATGCAATGACTTCTCACACGATTTCATTATAGGCGGATGATAAACTAGGTCTTGTAAATCAATAATCAGAAACATTATATGCCCTAATAACAAGAAGCATGACCTATATCCATTAAATGTCAAGATAATAAAGATTATACTAACATTCACACTTATACATATTTACATTCAAACTAATCTAATTATGTGCACCTGTATTACAGTCATCTGGTAAAAAAAAGAGAGAAAAACTAACGGCAAACTAATTAAAGAGAAATCAATAAATTCTCAAAATATACATAAAACCCAACAAAGTTTTTATCTAGTCAGTTTGTTCGTTACACATCTGATAGAATATCGATAACATCATCGTCATCATCATCATATTATTACTATCGCTTTTAATTTGTACCCATCTTTTTCCTAATTTATTATTTCCTCACTATCATATTTGTCACACACAAAAAAAGAATCATCAGTTGTTCATCTTCATAAATCAATTTTTTGAAAAGAAAAAAGAAACGCATTATTGACAATTAGTATGTTTAAGAGATAATCTTTAGAATTATTTCATATAAATAATGACAATGGTAGATTAATGAGCTGGGGGGGAAATGTCTGATAAAATATGTATGAAATATATTCAATATGTTTCAATATAGCTTACTCATTAGTTTAGATACTTTTTTGTTGTTGTCATCACATAAAAAAATGCTTGATCTGATAATAAATATATTTTTTTGTTATTCTACTCATTGGGATATAATACCTTGATGGTCAATTTATTTGAAACTCAAATTTAACCTTGGTATTAATACCTAATTTAGATTACATAATAATAATTATATAATAATGAATGAAGTATTATGAAAATATTTAGAAACAAAATTAGTTATCAACCAACTGACCTTTTTTATAGAATGAATTTCCATCTTAGGATGTTATAAAATGCAGAGGAAAGTTTGTGTGTGTGTGTGTGTGTGTGTGTGTGTGTGTGTGTGTGTGTGTGGAGAATACATTGATCTTTTTAACATTAAGTCTTTTGTCTTATTCATTAAATGTTGATCAAATAAAAACATTTCATAACAGGACATGTTAAATATCGTCGTTCATTTAAACACCGGAGTTTTAAACAAATATATATTTTGAAGGCTTGTGTAAATATATAATTAACTTGGTTATTGTGTATCCAATATTTATAAATTCTCCAGTTTAGTAAATCCGAATAATAAGAGAAGTAACAACCAAGTGAACATACATGATAAGCATTAATAAATTATATATATCACGTTTTGTTCAAACAAGATTCTTCTGGAAAAACTGTTGAATGAGTTAGAAGTGAAATTCTTTTATTATTAGATGCTATCAATTGTTGAGGATATAGATCTTTAAATCGCTGTGTTTGCATATCGTGTTTTTGCATAACCTCTTGAAAAGCTTGATGATGATGTCTATATGATATAGAGGCTTGATTTGTATTCACCTGAGAATTTCTTGCTTCCATGCATAGATTGTCTAATTCACCTAATGAATCTATACAACTGGATACCTCTTCATGTTCTACTTCAAGATTTTTTAAAGTACTACTTAATACAGAAGAAATTCTTTCACGGTCAGATGGCTGTGAAAATGATTGTCGTAAAATTACTGTTGCCTTCCTTCCTTTGTATTTTTCTTCATTTTTATCCTCAAGTGTTTCATCATGAAAATTACCTAAAGCTTTATTTTCAGGATAATTAAAACCCTTTTGATCATCTGAGACATGGACATACGTAGTTAGTTCTTCACTTTCTGACTCTCTATGATAAAAATAATTAAAGTTTGATACAATAACAGGTACAGGAAGTGCTATAGTTAGAACGCCAGCAATTGCACACATTGAACCCACAATCTTTCCCCACATTGTTACAGGTCTCATATCTCCATATCCTACTGTAGTCATTGTCACTACTGCCCACCAAAATGCATCAATAATACTTGGAAATTGTTCTTCACTAGCATCGACTTCAGCAAAATAAACTGCAGCCGAAAACAGAACCACACAAACAAATAAAAAAAAACAAAGTAAACATAATTCTCGAAAACTTGCTTTGAGAGTCCTCCCTAGAACTTGTAGTCCTTTAGAATGACGTGATAATTTAAATATGCGAAAAACTCTGACAAGCCTGATCACTCTTAGAATTGCTAATGACATAGCTTGATTTTGGCCTTTGTTAGCTTCAGCTAAAAGTGCCCCTATTGAAATAGCATAAGGAATAATTGATACCACATCGATAAGATTCATTACTTGTCTAAAAAATGCTAACTTTTGTGGACAAGCTGCAAAACGTATTAATAATTCAAAGGTATACCATACAACACATATAGATTCTAAAATAAATAGTGTTCCAGTAACTTGAGGAGTATCAACGGCAGAAATTATTGGTAGTTCATTAGAATCTTCGATAAATTGAAGTTCATAGTGCCTAAAATGTGGTAGCGTCTCAACACAAAATATAATAATTGATATAAGAATGACTAATAAGGAAATAATAGCTATACATCTTGCTGCAGTTGAACTCTCAGGGTATTCGAAAAGTAACCAAACTTTCCTTTGGAATTTATTTTTAGGTAGAATATGAATATCCTCTTTAGTGAATCCTTCATCTTCACGATAACGTTCGAAAATTTCTTCCCCTAGATCATAGAATTTTATTTCCTCCGTAAAAACATCTATTGGTACATTAACAGGTCTTCTAAGTCTTCCACCACTCTGATAAAAATAGAGTATTGCATCAAAACTTGGACGATTGCGGTCAAAAAAATATTCGTTTCTAAGGGAATCATAATAACGGCTTCTTCGGAACGGGCATCCAAGTAGTGTATTTGGGAAACGATTTAGAGTGTCGGTATGAGTTTCGAATCGAAGACCACTAACGTTAATCACAATGCGCTGATCGGTCATTCTGACTTTGAGTTGTCCATGAGAACATCCAAAATTAAATGTTTTTACCTGATCTGTTACACAACGGCACATAGTAAACTGTGTATTATGCTTTGTGGCTGCTGAATTTTTCCAGTATATAGATCTTGAAATTCTTCTGTTGATTTCATGTGAATAAAGTTTTCAACACAGTTATCGGCGTCTTAGGAGATTAATTTCTGAAGTGTGATTTATTAAAAGTGGATATATTTGTGAGTCTCTTTAATCGTCGGTATGTAACTTTAAAAGTCACTTGTTACAAAAGTGAGAACAAAATATGAAACATAAAGACTTGGGATATCCATAAAGGGAAAACGCATGTTTAGGCACAGATGTAAAAACTAGCCAATCAGAATCGTACAATGACCATGACTAGGCTAAACGACCAACAGATTGTGATGACTAGCTATGTAATTAAAAAAATCAAGAAAAAATTGTGAAATCTCTTTTGAAAAGATGAATCTGTAGCTAAAACGATGATAGCATTCTGCTTCATCTACGTAAGATAAGGTTAAGGAAAATCCAATTCTACAGTAACCTCAGTTTCAGCTGAAACTTGTTACATGTGATCTGATTCACTGAGTGATACAAAGAAGCAGTGCAATTTTACTAATTAAACTTAATATATTCAAGTATTTTTCTTTCGAAATTTATTTAAATTAGTTGTTTTCGTTTTATGACGTGACTTAACCATCGAGGCGCGCTGTTCAAAACCTCGAGGATGACCCAGTTCTTACCACCTAATTTGTTGGCGCTTTTCGCACCACGAGATCCAATCCCCTTCCTCCCACCAATAGAAAAACATGCAAATCATAGGAAATTACCATATACCGGTGTGGCTCAATTCTTAGGAGAGTTTGAAGTAAGCTTCTATCTAATTTTAAGTAGTAATCTTTCAAATGTACTAAGGTGCTTCTGTTAAACTCCATGCTTTTCTTATCCTTATTCTATGAGTACTTCTTTTTTGTTAGGATGCATCTGAAACTCCGGCTCCAGTGCGCATAGAAACTCGTGAGGAACGTAAGGAAAGAAAAGTAAGTATTTGCGTTATGTTATTTGTCCTACAGCGTCGAGAGAAACAAGAGCAAGCCAATTATAAGCTTGAACAAGATCTTGCATTATGTACGTTGGATTCCGATTTCTTTAATGAGTTTTGTTTAGGGAATCCCAAGAAAAATCCAAAGGCTACTTCTAATCCTTACAACACAATGTTCGTAGCCAGACTTGTAAGTCAACAACATAACATTACGACTTTCTAGAACTATGATACCACAGAATCCAAACTAAAGAGAGAACTTGATATCTTCGGACGAATTAACAACGTAACTTTGTCTTTATTCCTTATACTGGCTTGTAGATTGTAATGGTAAAGAATGTTATAACGGGGAAGCCTCGTGGATATTGTTTTGTGGAGTTTGAACATGAACGTGACATGCATGGTGAGCTGCCATATTTACTTTGTAACACCGCTCACAGTTGCTCAGTGATCTTTAGTTAACCCATTTTCAGTGTGGTGATTCGTAGGGGTGTCATGTTTATAGGCCGAAATAGTTAATTAGCTCTTCATAGCCTTCATTGTATGGTTTGTTCTCTTTTCTCTTCAGGCATCTATTCGTAAACGTGCAGTTGTGTTCACCCTCAAAATATTTTGAATGGCCTGCACTGCATTTTAAAATCATGGTTTTCAGCCAAGCGCTTAACTACAGAAAATCTGGCTTAGGTTTGTTTGTGTGGTAAGCTACTAATTAATGGTCAGCCACATTTGTTGCTACCATAGGGCAGACCTTTTCTGGTTAACTGATATATTAGTCTCAGTTCTTGAACGAAATAGAGTTTTGTAAATACACCTTTGTTTAAAGCTATTCGCCATTCTATGTAGCTGTGCATAGAAGGAAGGATACTCTTGGTGAGTTTCTAAGTTAGTGCAAGCCGCTCATCTGGTAATAACTACTTCCGAAAAAGGATCAAATAAAGGGAAATGGTTCAATATGTTTGCTTATAAATTGTGTTGTATTTTAATTGTTCATGAAACGTCCCAAATATTTAAGTGATTTCTTCTGTACTAATGAGATTTCATGTGTAACCTGTTTTGTGTGCTTGTATTGTCATGTACAATCCTATTAACACTCAAGCCGCCGTCAAAGCCCTAAATGGCAGAAAAATCGATGGTGTCCGCGTTGTGACAGACGTTGAGCGGGGAAGGACTCGTCCTGATTGGAGGCCTAGGCGTTTAGGTAAGTTATATAAACACTATGGTTATTTATCTGCTCATAGAAACTGCTATCGTAAATCATCATTTCATCTCTACAATTCTCAGCATGTCGGTTAACTATCCTTTCACCTAAACTAGTAGCCTACACAGTTTCTTGAGTCTTTATTCTAGTTTGGCCTACTCAAGACTAATGATTTTATGGCTTTTTGCTTCTGTAACCTCATGGGAAAGGCTAAAGCTAACTTTCAGCAAATTATTTTCCACCACTAACTCATCAATTTTGTATGCAGTCTTTGTCTTGAGGAGTAGTGTCACAACTTGGTCAACATATATAAACATGCCCCCATTTATTTAATGTTGCTAGTTTATGCATAGTCCTCATTAGTACAACTTGCTTAAATCACAAATATTTCACTTGATGAGCAAGTATGTTTTTCGTCTGAAAAATCCAAGGCTTTGTTATGACTGCTAAGGTCTGATCTCACTCAATATATTAGTAACTAATTTGACTTGTTCTATAAGCACAGCTTCCGAAGTGCATGTCGATGATGTTATATAGGAAGACGAAAACTGTACAATTAAACCACCCAGCTTCAGAAACAACATTACTAGTTAGCGAATTCACAACCAACCTTCTTTCTGTAAAATCTAGTTCTATTTCAGCCACCGTTAAACTTCCGGTTAGACAGTGGATTTATGTTAGGCACATACTGTGTTCAACTCTCACCAGTGTTAAGCCTTGTCACCTCATGCTTCGACGGTCAAAACTCAGTCCTTTTGTCGTTAAGCTTCCGTACTTTCAAGCATAACATTGCAGCATAGACGGCGGTTGGGAATATATAGAATACATGCTTACTAACTAAATCGGTCAATGTTCTGAGCCTCACCAACTTATGTCATTTCTGTCCTGTATTTAATGTACGGTCTAAACATCGCCCGCTACTTCATGATGTTCGACCAATCCTCAAAGTGCTTTGACTTGGTTTATTAAATGGCGTTGAAAGTTCCAAGTACCTGTCATTTGTAATCCTATCAGATTTTAAATTCTTGACTGCCCAATGGTCAGATAAGTGCTTAATGCATAATACTTCATGAAATAGTTTTGGATCTACATAACCACCATATTATTGCGCCGCTGATGTTCAACAGTTAGAGAATTTGAGTGACAGCTCATAAATCATTTGCAATGGTGCAGGTCGAGTGATCTTTTGTTTTCTATTAGATCCTAAACTTCCAAATTATCTTAGTCTTTAATTTTCTTATACCTAATCCTTCCTATTAACACTAATATTGTTGCTACTGTGACGTGACAACTTGAACCAATGTACATGTATCCAAGATTCCACGTTGGGAATACCTGGCTGCGTTTTTCGCAATAAACATCTGACTACATTATTATACGCAGTGTATACTAAATAGAGGCAGTATTCCTGGAATTTCTAGCCAACGTTAAATGTCTCCACTTTAAAGACAAGTGATTTTGCAGTCATAAAGCCCCCAAATGCCCTGGTATGGCTGAGAGTGGGGTGGACCCACCCTCCCTCTCGAAATGCTCTCACATGGCCACGCGTATATAGCCTCTGCCAGGGAAGTCCTACTCACTGCATTCTCGCACCAGGGGTGTTGTTTACGAAAATGAGAGGACGAAAAGCGAATGTCCGGCGCTTTAACCGGATCTCAAAATCAATGGTGCACATGGGCTCCAGTATCCTGAAGGAACAAACGGCGTATGAACCAATGGTTGGTCACCGGCTACCATGCAACTGCATCTCCTCACGATGCTCCACTGCCTTGTGGGTCAGACCTTTAAGTCAAAGTCTCGGGGTGTGGCCCCCTAAGAAAACCACCTGTTTCGATTCGGGCACCCGGGCAGTATCACAGCCCACACAAAATAAAAATTTGTGTGGCGTATTTATATTTGGTGCCCTCTTGTACCAATATTTATGTGTTCAAATAAATAAATAAAATTGCAGTCACAAAAAAGTTAATGTATATATGCTTTCAGTGTCTGAGACACTACAACCAAAACGAAATTGTCCCGGCTGCAGTACAATATAGGAGTAGAAATTGTAACATACTCCGCTTAAATACATTTCCACTTACAAAATAAGTGTTTGAATGGTCGTTCTCGGGATCATTATTCTAGTGAGTCTGAGGTGCGCTTCCTTGATGTAATTATAATCTAAGCATCACACAACCTGACGGAAAAGTCGAATTCATACTTTTCGTGTCCTAGTGCGTCAAGTGACATCGATGCTTCCGCAATGTTGCTTTTATTAGATTGAAAAACGTAGTAATGCCGACTTCAGGTGGTATGATGATCGTATTCAGTAGATGGGCCAAATCTAACTAGTGTCTCAGACACATTTATTCTTTACCCACCCTTCGACCTTAAGCTCCAGCACTTCACTTTACGAGCTATATTCTGTCTTTCATTATCAGGTCTTCTGTTTTGCATATATTTTTCAAGCCATCATGAAATGACTAGGGATTGTTCGTAACTAATGTTTAAGCTATTTATTCTTTGTAGGCAAGGGCTTAGGTAAGAATCGCCAAGGACCAAGTGACAAGTCTCATCGCAAACATGAAAATGGACGTGATCCCAGTCATGATCGCAGTTTCGGTCGACCTATCTCAAGTGCACATGTTCGTGATCGCGACAAAGAGTACAGACGAAGGCGCAGTCGATCTCGGAGTAAATCAAAAGAACGTGATCGGCGCGGTCGTAGCCGTGAGTTTAATCTGTTTTTGAAAGTTAACTAATTTTAAATATATACACGTACACAATGTTAAACTATGCTTAACTTTTTTAGGGAGTCGAGACCGACATCGAAGACGCCGGAGTCCAGATGAGCGGGATCGTGATCATAAGCGCCGTGACCGTCGTCGAGATGATATGATTCAGCAGTATGGAGAGTATGGTGCTGAAATTAGGGCAGAATACAATGGAGATGCATAAAACACATTTTCGAGTCACCCTGTATTAATACAAAACTCACTTGTGTGCAAAAAAAACTATATTTTAAGAAAGCTGTACATTAAAAGTGAATGTCAATAAACTTGTTGAAAATATTAATCACTAAAAATTTTTAAGCACAGCATTTAACGGTCCATCTTTGGTGCCTTTGAATAGCAGCATGCAAGTATCACGCCGAAGAACTAAAACCAAGGATTGTACCGGTCAAAATATAGCTTACCTCCACAAAAACAAGGGCGAGCACTACCACGCATATGATGTAATACTGTTCACGTAGGTTAAGAAGTATTGACTCCATACATCCCTGGAAAGAAAGCGGTTATAACTGTACCAACTAAGAGTTTATTATTTATGTTAGGACTGGGATACTGCCCAGGTGCCCAAACCGAAGCAGGACCAACTAATAGTAGCGTTATTCTAACGTCTTGAGCAGCATTTTAGTCTAAAGGCAAAGTTTGAGCCAAGACTACGTTAGAATTTTAAGTCTGCATACAAGGGATTTGTCTGTATGTCCTTTGTTATGGGGTTATTTACTGATGACCTTAGTGTGTATTTGGATATTCCATATCACCCGTCTCTAAGCACTAGTCATGTGGACGTTGATTCTATTAATTAACAATGTCTTTGCTTGCTCATCTCTAATTTCCTCCCAACTTTTTATGACAACAGTTACCATAGCGAACGTTACAGGTGACCTTGGCGAAAGCTAAGTGGGCTTTCGGAATCCATGTCGAGGTCTCATTAGGACCACTTAATAACGTAAGTGGCGGTCAACGCGTTCTCTTCTTGTGACCGCTCAAACCGTTGGCTCATCCAAAACCCGAAGCAACATTCTTCATTCGAAAAGGGAGAAGCAATCTAAAGAGGCCTGCACTGTTACTCAAAGTGTTTACGAGACTGCATTTCGTCAAGGTCTTCACTAAAAAAACAATGTCATCTGGGTATTCAATAAGTCAGTGGGCGAATCTTCTGGTAGATCATGAAACCAGGTGAGGACGTCACCACTAGGATATTTATGATAAAATGAAACTAAAATGGAGAGTGAGCAACACCGCTGCCAGTCAATATGATGACTTGCCATAACCTCTGAGCTATAAAAGATTCGCGTCTGAAACTTGAGCTCCGGTATTCCTTCGTACATCTTGTTTCGACTTCTTCGATATTTATCTTTTTAATTTCATCGCGTTGTACTAGTGTCGTATGGGAACTTAGGCTAACGCACATATGTGAATGACTTATAAGGTTTATGTACTTTTCCGGTACATCATTCAGTGAAAAACTTATCGCAGATCATTCCGATTCACTCAGTCGAATGGCGTATCGAATAAAGAATAAGGTCATGATAGGGCCTCAGTGTAACTGATTTCTAAGACTTGGCGAAGTGTAAATATTTGGCCAATAAACAAAGCTAGGTGTAGAACTGGTTGCTTCAGAGCTCCAATTAGGCGTCAAATGACTATGTAGAACAATGTCTTAAACGCCAGTACTCGTTAAGCTGGCTGTAGCATGATCTTAGCTATTTTGTATAAACTAAGGTGATCAGCGATCGAGACAAGCTAGATGGAATTACGCATAGTTGTCTGAGCCTAGCTAATATTTCAGCCAACTTAAGCGGTAAGACTGGACCACCATCAACAAACACTGAGTTTAACCCATTTAATCATACTGCTCCCCCTACCTTAGTTATTGTGACCCTTTCAGCCTTGAAAGTCGTGAGACCTGTGACGATTTACTATCCAAGTTGTTTGGAAGTAGGGTGTAAGTGAGGCCCTGCTGAGCTGTTCTCAAGTGTTCCATCCATCGTTCTGAGTGTCTGAACTGTGGATAGAGCATTACTTCATCTTCTACAGAGATAGCTTAACTGACTTTCGAATACCTGGTGTTTTGATAAGTCTGAGTAGTTTTTTTTGTGTTACACAGCACTATTCCCTTTCCTGTATATTTTGCTTTAGTTGTCCACAGTTAAATAAATGTCTCATGTCCTAATGATCGTAGTTTTGGTGAGACGAAGTAAATCTCGATTTAGGAAACCTAAATATTTGATAGAAGACGCTTTACTATTACTTCATCGTAACCTCGAAATCTTTAACACCAACTTTACGGATAATTTTGTCGTACTCAAAATCTTTTTCTGCGATACTAAAGAGATCTGAAATTACCAGAAATATATAGTAAAATGTATATTATGGTTATTACTAAGCTAAAAATTCACATAGATGTGATAACCCAGTTTTTAAATTTTATTGTGCAACCTCAAGTTTTGTTATTGATTTGTGTTAACGAATACTTAAATAGTCTTGTATGCTTTTATAGAACTATGCGGATAAATTGAGTCTTGACCTCACTATATATTTGTATAATTTCGGAAGGTCGAAAAAAGCTGTAGTTTTGAATGGATTAATAACTTCATAAGGTGGTAGCTAATTATGCTTTCAAATGTACTGGTTGAGAATTTAACGTGACAACCAAGAAGCTTGAGAATTATATACTAGAGTACTCAACTACGGGCCACACTCAAATTGCTGTAATAGTGAGATTACTAGTACCCCTGGACGGGAAAAGGTGGGAAGGCTTTGAATCTGGATACTGTTGCTAGAAAGTTGGGTCGTCTCCGTATAAGTTATCGCCTTAGTTATAAAAAACCCAAGTAATGATCGTGAGCTGAGGTGGTTAGCGAAAGCACAAGAGATGGAAGAAGCGGTAGCGATATGTAACACTACGAAACTGTTTAAGCTTATCAAAACAGATATTAAAAACTCGACTGATATTGAGATTGTTTCGGGAAAAGAGGGGACTATCGTCCTCTCTCTCTCTCTACATATATATATATATATATATATATATATATATATATGGCCACGTGTATATAGCCTCTGCCAGGGAAGTCCTACTCACTGCATTCTCGCACCAGGGGTGTTGTTTACGAAAATGAGAGGACGAAAAGCGAATGTCCGGCGCTTTAACCGGATCTCAAAATCAATGGTGCACATGGGCTCCAGTATCCTGAAGGAACAAATGGCGTATGAACCAATGGTTGGTCACCGGCTACCGTGCAACTGCATCTCCTTACGATGCTCCACTGCCTTGTGGGTCAGACGTTCAGGTCGAAGGCTCCAGGTGTGGCCCCCTAAGAAAACCACCTGCTTCGGTTTGGGCACCCGGCCAGTATCACAGCCCTCACACAAATCAATTGAGATTCGTGTGGCGCATATGTATTTGGTGCCTCCTTGTACCAATACCTATGTGTTAAAATAAATAAATAAGCGACTGACAGGTAACTCCCATCCACTGCTTTTTCGAAAAGGGGATGTTTTTTACGAAATCGAGAGGACGAAAAGCTAATGTCCAGCATTTTAACGGGGTTAGTGAATACGGAGTGTTCACCTAGGGGAGTTGGAAAACCCTGATTTCAAACCAATAGTCACATGAGCTCCAGTATCTTGAAGAAACAAATTGAGGATGAACCTATCGTTGGTCACTGGCTACCATGAGACAGCTCTCAACGTTGCTCTATTGCCTTGTGGATTAAACCTTTATGTCGAAGGCTCCGGGTATGACCTACTACGAAAACCACCTGCTTCGGTCTGGGCATCCGGGCAGTAACAGCACACACACAGATCAAGTGATTTGTGTGGCGCATATTTATTTAGTGCCATTTTGTACCAATATTTGTGTTCAAATATATATTTAACGCCTACCTCATTATAAACATTCGATGGGTGCGGTAATGTTCCACAGCTTTTAACTGATCTTACGCAACATGAATCAGGAACAACTAATGGATACTCTGGATATGGTAATATTTCATTTAGTTTCGAATAATTTTGAAAGATGCTATCTGTCCAATCTCGGTAACTCCTTGATCCACAGCATTTGAACTTTTGCTGTATGTGGTCTACAGCAGCGTCAACTCCACCAGTGTCGCGGAAGTACTGAGTTTGCATGGTAAGCATCAATCTGTCAGCAAGCCACTCAGTCAGGATATTGGAGAAACACAGGGCCAAAATACCAGTAGTGAATTGGATTAGTAGGATGATGAACAATATCCAAGCAAACTACAAGTAGAATAATGCTGTAAATTCTTACTGTCAAAAGTAGAGTGGACTTCCCATTTGAAACTCCGATGAATCCAATTATGCACACGACCACCAGAAGTCCTCCAACAACAAACATTAGAAAATGACTTAGATAAGCAATTTCACCCAGCAGCACGGGGACAAAGGGCAAACGAATAACTAACAGGAAAACGCCCAACCCGATTAAAGCTAATGCAATCAGCTAACCAATATAAATATTTGAAGACAAAATACCAAGATAATTGCAGTGAAGAAAATTAAAAACGTCTTGACCCAACTCGGTGTACACGAGCAACATTTGGAATCATCTTCTTGAATAACTATCTCCTCATAACCCATCAAAGGTTTGCCAGCTGGGGTTGGCTTGGTTTTTCCACCCATGACCTTCTGTTTTAATGACCTTCTGAGAATTTAACCCAGCGCGCACACAAAAAATTAGTTCGAAGGGCTTAAATGAATCTGGACCAAATAGAAAAAGCTTCCACTCAGTGGGCTTCTTTATCTAGTAGCAGTGAATTAATGATACTTCGAGGTATGAGCACACCTAGATTTAACAATAAATTAGTCAAAATTGGAGTGTGCAACAATATGTACTTTTAACGAAAGCTAATACTATCTAGAAATAATGTACTATTTTATAGCCAGAATATTTCAAGTAAATCTAAAGGTAAACATGAAGACCATAAACTTTGACAGACCCACTGGATTTAACAGGTAGTTCCAGGAAGTAAGTGAGTTGTTCCATCCAATGCAACCTAAGGTATATTATATAAGATCGTATATAAAGTCTAGTGTATGATGCCTCATCATGTATGATTACGTATTTTTTTAAGCTTTAGATCATGATCCACAGTAAACAGGTGATTTTATTAGCGTGCAAGTTATAGTGTAGTGATATTGCTTCCCAACTACATAATTTTTGAAGCTGAACAAATAATTACTGAGAAGATACACATTCAGTACGTAGCACAGTGAGGAGGTCAAAAATGGTGAACACGTGAACAATTGATCGACTGTGAGATGTCTCAGTGATGAAAGCGTGTTCGTGCTGCAAAACTTAAACATATTCACACAACATATATCAATTTAAAGATGGCACTAGTATTAGGTGTTTGACAACGCCCAAACCAGTAATATCTTCTATGATCGAAAGGTGCTGACCCAGTTAAATCAAAAGCCAGAAGCGAAGAGGTTAGAAGGCATATTTGAAAGCATGTTGATATATCGAGAAGTTATCGATTTAAGCTGACTAGCGAATGTAGGAGATGCGAAGCACGGCGTACCCACTAGTGTTGTAGATCACCAACGTAGATGATCTATGTCGAATGATCGGAAGCCTACTCGAGTTAGACGGGAATGGTGTGACGGACCAACTAGCGTCAAAGTCACACCTCGTGGTCAGCACCATATGTGGACTATCCTATAGATGCTTTAAAGAATGTACAACACAGAAGACGTTATTACAGAGATATATTAGTCAAAGTAGATGCAAGTGAAAGTAAGACCGCTGCCACATAGGCCAGTCCATGGCGTACGATTAACCGATGCGCGTTGGTTGTCCTTGACATCGACGAGGATCGATGATTTGTTCGATATTTAATCACCCAACTGCCGGATGAATATGGCTGGGGCTCAGTGGAATTTCACTGGCCCTACAGTGTGAATAACTGATAGAGCTGCTTCAGCTACGTGAGTCCATTCAAACTAATGTTGAAAACTTGCAGAGGTATTCTTTTCGTAGGTTTATTTACCGTTACAGATCATTCCCCACTTGATGGAGTAGTGATGACCTCAAGACGTGGCCAGCCAGGATTTTAAACCGAACGAGTTTGCTGCTGGTAAACACTCTCTTGATAGCTTGTTATATTCAACAGTACATAATCGTCTTTACTTATCATAAGGGGCCATAAGATACACTATAGTGATGGAAAACAGGTACAATGAAAATTTAAATTCATCATAATCCTTATCGATTTCTATCTTTTTCATCTGTTCGAAACCAAAACAAAGCAATCGGGTAAAATGACGGTGCTGAAATTCATTATAAATTTAAATGTATATTTTTACCTAAACAAATATGACCACCCAGCTATTCAACCAACAATAGTTCAATTAATCAAATCTAAATTACAATACGTAAGGAAATTGATGAACGATGCGAGAAAATTACCAACCGTAACAAATAAATGTTATTCTATCTTGTCTGGATAGATCGCACAGATTCGTTCAAAAGATAATATTTGGTTGCCTTATAACACCAAGTGTTTTCAATTCTGGGAGAGTGCTTCAATTCACAATCAAAAATGCATAATTCCAGTCAATGCACGCAACACAAGTAAAGGGAGGAACAAACGAATATGGCGGCCGCCAAGAATAAGTATCAAGTAAAACAACATAACTGCAGTTCAGGAAGAAACACGGTAACCCATTTCTGTAAATCCTTCTGTAAATTCAACCATATATATATGTCATTGATTAGTTTAGTTGAAGCTTTTGCTCCAGGATGAGACAAAGCATGAAAGTTATTATGTATCAACTTTCGAATACTTTTGAAGACGAAAGGTCGCGGCATTACCTTAGTCACGTCACAGTAAATTAGAATACCGTCGATAGACAACGTAACTATTTTAATTTAAGACTTGAATTATTTGTTTTAAGTAGGTTTTGTAATTCTGGATCCTGTTCTTGTTCGTGTCTTAACGTCTCGAAGTTTATTGTAGACTGCTGTAGCACGTTCATTTTTAGTCTAGATAAAGAATCTGCCGCCTGATTGTCCTGACGTTTGACATGTCGGATATCGATTGTGAACTGTGATACATAGTCAAAGTGTTGGGCTTCTCGCGGTGAGTATTTAACGGCTCTCGCTTTTAATGCATTCGTTAGTGATTTGTGATCTGTAAATGTACGATCTATTTTGAGTGTTTTGTGTGTGAAAATCCCTCCATGTATACACTTGCAGTTTATTCTTATTGATACCTTTGGTTGTGCATTTTTGTTAGTCATTTTCATTCCATTTAAGTCAATAGCATTTGTATTTTATTATAGTTTTTATTTTTTCTTACGCCTTTACTAAGTTACCGTGTTTCTTCCTGAACTGCAGTTATGTTGTTTTACTTGATACTTATTCTTGGCGGCCGCCATATTCGTTTGTTCCTCCCTTTACTTGTGTTGCGTGCATTGACTGGAATTATGCATTTTTGATTGTGAATTGAAGCACTCTCCCAGAATTGAAAACACTTGGTGTTATAAGGCAACCAAATATTATCTTTTGAACGAATCTGTGCGATCTATCCAGACAAGATAGAATAACATTTATTTGTTACGGTTGGTAATTTTCTCGCATCGTTCATCAATTTCCTTACGTATTGTAATTTAGATTTGATTAATTGAACTATTGTTGGTTGAATAGCTGGGTGGTCATATTTGTTTAGGTAAAAATATACATTTAAATTTATAATGAATTTCAGCACCGTCATTTTACCCGATTGCTTTGTTTTGGTTTCGAACGGGCAAGGGCGCGTATCTAACCCACCTAGACAGCTATTCTTCAATCGAAACCCTAGTTTGGATCTTACAGTAAGGACTATAAATTCCCTGCCTTCTAACATGTGTTGGAATTGCTTAATGGTCAGGTAGATTGCCAGAAACTCTCGCGCGAAGTTAGAATACCTTGTCTCTGCTGGAGCGAGTCTTTTCAAGAAGAAAGCAATTGGTTTCCAATCGTTTTTAACCAATTGGTTAAGGATACCGCCTGCTGCTTTATCTGACGCACCAACCATTAAAGCAAGTGGGGAAAGAGAATTCGGATACATCAACGTAGATGCTTGAGCCACTTTATCTTTTAGCTGTTTAATCGCTTCGACGGCGTCAGAAGACAGTCTGTATTCTTTTGGTTTTCCTTTAAGTGAATTTGTCAAAGTTTGCATTAGTTGTGCACAACCGGGTATGAATCTGAGATAAAAGTTAAATAGACCTAAAAAACTTCTCACTTGTGTTAGAGAACTAGGTATAGGATATTGTTTGATGGTGTCCACTTCTGCTTTGATGGGTGTAATCCCTTCTGGGCTTATTGTGTGCCCAAGGAATTCTAGAGTTCGAACACCGAAAACACACTTACCTTGATGTATGTTCATTCCATTTTCATCCAGTCCTTTTAACACTGCTCGTACATGCTGTTCGTATGATTGTGAATCAGGGCTGGCAATTAACAAATCGTCCATATACCATTGTGCAAACTGCATATCTCGAAGTACGTTATCCATGAATCTTTGAAATGTTTGCGCCGCATTTCTCAGGCCGAATGGCATGCGTACAAACTCGAATAATCCAAAAGAAGTAGTAATAGCTGTCTTGGGGATATCTTCATCAGCCACCGGAATATTGTGATATGCCCTGACCAAGTCAATTTTAATAAATGTGTTCATACTATGTAAACCGTTTGTGAAATCTTGAATATGCGGTATTGGGTACCTATCTGGTACGGTTTGGCGGTTGTGGGCTCTGTAATCCCCACACGGTCGCCAATCGCCTTCATTTTCCTTTGGGACCATATGCAAAGGGGATGCCCATTGACTATCAGAGGGACGGATAATACCCAGTTGTAGCATATATTCAAATTCAGCACCTTTGGTTTTGATAGTATGACTTACTTTCGGTTTGTCTTTGGAAAGCTGTGGGTTCGGTCTAGTTAAGTTTGAAAATTCCGCCAGTATATCTTGGAATCTCGCTATTGTTACTGGAGGAGTGTGATGTGACTTTCTTTGCCTTTTGTGTAATTCGAAGTTTCAATGTTAAGCGTCGTTTCTTAGTGTCAACGAGAAACTCGTATCTCTCTAGAAAGTCCATCCCCAGTATTGCCTCCTGAACCCAAAATCTGATGTTAAAGTTTTCTGTCCAAACGTTGCAATTTTAGTTTTGTTGGCAGCTTGAAGTGTAACTGAGGATATCTTTCGCCCCAGCCCATTTTTATTTTGAAGGATGATACTAAGAGCAGCGTCAGCATCTACCAAGAAGTTCAAGCCAGAGTTTCCGTCGCTAACATAAAACAAGCGACTGTTTAAGCGCCCCTCCTCGGTCGTCGAGACCTCAGGAGCGGTTACTCGTTTCCCTCATTCCTATGATTTTGCTTAGGCCAGATGCATGGTTGCATGCCCTTGGTTTAGTTGACACCAAACTTCCAGTGACACCAACAGAACTTCCTAGATTGTCTGGACACTTGTAACCTCTTTTTTGACTTGAGTCTTGGTTGTCGTGGTGACCTGCTTCTGCTTCTATGATCCATTTGCATTCTGGCGACAGCCTCAGTGAAACCTCTAACACTCGCAATGAGTCCTCCTATGACTGAGTCTTTTGCTGGTCCCTCTTTTTGTGTAAGGTTTATCGTGTGTGATCCAGTTGAAGGACCCCTTTTCATTATCCTATCGGCTATACGCGC